TGGTAGTAGAGAGAAGTTCTAATAGATTCAGGTTTGACCATATCTCTCAGTTATCTCAGAGTCTACACAAAAGTGAGAAATTGTTAAAAAGGAGGCAGCAGGCCCCAAATGGAGTCACCTGTGCCAAGCTCCACATTAACAAACCCAGACTTAACACCTAATTGTTGGTGTTAATTGTTTCCACCTCCCTTGGAATGTAAACTTGGACCAGGCAAACTGGAATTACCTCGTCACCTCTAGTGAGGCAAATTGCCCCATAGACTCCTTAGATTCCCCTATAAAGGGTTACTTCTCTCAAAGCAATGCATTCTTTAGACAGAATTCCCCTTTTTTCCACCCCCTCTAGGCCTTTAAAAACTTTTCCTTTTCTGTAGCCCATTGGAGCTCCTTTCTGTTTGCTAGGGGGGATGCTCCCAGATTCACGAATCATTGCATAAAGCACTTTGATCATAAAATTTACTCAGTGGAATTTTTGTTATTTCTTAAGCTGAAGACTCACAGGCTTTCGAACACTCAGGCTTCAGTATGGAAGACAGCGCACAGAGCAATCTAACTACTGCTGTCTAAAGAGAATACCTGATCGTTGTGTCAAGGTTGCCCTGAGTTAACACAAGAGGGGCTTCAAGATGGAGGCTGCCTGCCTTTGCCAGAGACACTAACGAAAAAATCATCACTCATAATGCCTTGTGTTATTTCCCACATGGCAGAAATCTAGTAGGGGCTGGGCCTTCTTCTAAACATCAGGAGCCAAAGCGACAACAATTATGCCTTCACTGCTGGAAGGGTTGAGGATTGTCAATCTGCCCATAGATTCCCAATAAACTTTCATAGGAAAATGGGACTCTGAATTTTGGTAAGGTTTTCTCAGCCTACTATCCTGACTGACAGATGAAAAGAAGTTCTAATACAGGCTCTCAAGACTGAATCATCAAACTTACCAACAAAGAGAATATCACTTACATAACAAAAAGTTTGAATATCAAAAGTTCCTGGTACTAGATCTGAATCTTTACCTAGCCTCTGGGGGGAAAGTGAAAGGGTAATTGGTCCCACTGACACTGATCTACCTGCAGCTCCTTCTGAATGAGACAAGCCCCTCTGGCACTTATGGGATGGGGAATCACAAACAAATAACAGAACAACTACTCTTACATTCTGACGTAAGAACAACAAGAGAATATTGAATTATTTCAAAAGGAGTAGTCATTTCCCCTCAAAATTTATGCGTTGAAATTTATTGGCCAAGATGGGGTACTAGGAAGTGGAATCTGGGAGGCAACTACATCATGAGGACAGATCCCGAACAAATGGGATTGGTGCCCTTTAAAAGAAGCCTGAGAGAGCTCCCTTGCCTCCTTCCACCTTGTGAAGATACAGTAAGAACTCTGCAAACCAGGCGAGTGCCCTCACGTGACCAAACTGGCACCCTGATCCCAGACCTCCATCCTCCAAAACCGGGAGATAGAAATTGTTGTTTACAAGCCACCCAGTTAGTGGAATTTTGTTATAGCTGCCCAAACAGACGGAGATAGGCCCCAACTGCCTCATCAAGTTCGCTTCCGTTTGATACTATGACAATGCACAAAGGCTATTGGCTGCATGGCTCAGCCACTATCCCATCCTCACTGTCAAGACTGCCAAGAAATCCAGAGTGTCCGATATTTTGCCCCATTGCAGACCCTCAAGTTAGTCTGCCATTTTCATGACTGTTAGCAGAAGTCATGAGACTCCTGGAACTTAGACAAGACATTGTTCATTGTTGCCCAACAGGCATCAAGACCTTTGCGTTCACCTCTGTTCCTGCTGTATCCATAAGGTCAAGGGGGCCATGTAAAGAGGTCACGGAGAATGCTGCACACGTAGTAGGCTTGTGTCACTTCTGGCGACATTAAGCTGAACAAACCTCAATCTTTTCACGTGGGTTATAAGTACAACTGCCCAACCTTTGCTTCTGAGGAAGGCATTATCTTTATTATATTTGTCAGCTAATTAATCTGTCCTTGCCCCACAACAAATACAATCATCATCTTCCAAAGCAGTTATTCAAAACCCTTGCAAGGTAGTCCTGAACAGTATCTGACACAAGTCATGAAAAACATTTGAGAGGCCCATGGAAAATTGTCTCCTGATAGAATACATCTTTGTCTTTCCAACTTGACAATAATTGAGTAAAAAGGTCCAGTGAAGATTTCTGATACCAAGACTGACCTTGTTTGTGTGGTCCTGTGAGGTTATTAAAGACTGAAGGAGGCAGGAAAAGACACAGATTTACCAGGACACTTCACAGGAGAGACTGATCCAAGGGAGAGGAGTGATGTTATCCTAGGTGAGCCAGGAGAGTTGAGAGCAAATGAAAAGAAAGAATAATACCACATGTTCTGAATACAGTGAAATTTGCTATCTTAGAAAAATATATAATTTGCTATCTGCGCACACAACAAATCCATTCTGGATTGATTCTGAATCTAAATTTTAAAGCTCTATAAAGTTTCTAAAATGAAAAAAGAATACATCTGCAGTCGTAGGATAGGAAAATATTTCTAAAACAGAATGGTAAACATTACCTACGAAGGAGGAAATATCAAGTTATATTAAAACTAAGACTTTCTCTTCATCAAGACAAACACACACACAAATGAAGACAGAGAGAGTACCAATGATATGTCCAACTGATATTGAGAACCACTCCAAATTACAGAGAAAAAGACAAGAAGATAGAAATAATAGACAGAATAAACGAACACACAGTTCAAACAGTGGTTGCTAAATTGCCATGACATAAGTGAAAATATGTTCAACTTATATAATAAACAAGAAAATAAAACTTAATTCACCACTTGGTAAAATCACACATCAATCAGAAGCCTTAAAAAAAGAAGATAAAACAGTAAAAGACTTGGGGCTGGCCCCATGTCCAAGTGGGTAAGTTTGCACACTCCGCTTTGTGGGCCCAGGGTTTCGTTGGTTCAGATCCTGGGCACAGAGCTAGCACCGCTGATCAACCTGTGCTAAGGGGTGGAGGGTGTCCCACGTAGCAAAGCCGGAAGGACCTACAACGAGAACATACAACTATGTACTGGGGGGCTTTGGGGAGAAGGAGAAAAAAAATTTTTTAAATAATAAAGCCTTGAAAAGGGCAAACCAAGAATCTTGTACACGCTCAGTGGGTGTGGAAATCGGTACAGACGACTTCCAAACCCCTTGGCACTATCACCTAAAGCTATAAAGGTGTGAACCTATCTCCCGATAATTCCAATATTACATATACAGCCAGGAGAAATTGGCACAAGTATCATCAAAACATGTTTAAACATACATACTAGCTCTATTCCTAATAGTCTCAAACTGAAAACAACCCATAAGCCTGTTAACAGTGGAAGGATTAAACTAATTGCTTTATATTCACACACTAGAATCCTATACAGCAACGTGAATGAATGATCACAAGCAACATGGAGCAATAAATTTACAAACAACATAAGGGATGGCAAAAAACAAACAAAAGAGTAAGGCTCTATTTTTTTCGTATGAAATGCAAAAGATGCTAAGTTGACTTGTGCTGTTAGATGTCAGAGCAGTGGTTCCCCTGAAGAGTAGTGACTGACAGGGAGTAAAATGGACTTCTAGGGGTCTGTTAGACAGCATTGTCTTGGTTGATCTAGGTACTGAGAACAGAAATGTGAATTGTACACAAACTTCGCACACATACACATGCACAGATCACACACACGTATACATATATCATCACAATTGTAGTGAATTCTCAGTACTTTACATCAGCTTCAGAATGGAAATACAGAGAAAACTATTTAAAAATCTCCCCTAAAATTAAGGAAATACTCCCTTTGCTCCTTGAAAATCAAGTCACAAACCCCACATAAACAGAATGGACTCACATCTTTCCCTTTCAAATGGTTTTCCCTACAGCTCTCCCAATTTAATGGCCATCTATTTAAGCATTGTAGAGACAGGAGTGTCCACTTGCAAACCTCTTCATTGCCAACATGCCCAAATCATAATCACAAAAGAGAAAATGCTGCTGTCTACAGATGCCAATGCCATGCAATTTATGTCTTTTAAAGTGTCCCACTCACATCATATTGTTTCAAAATCAGCTAAAATCTACTTTTATGCTCTCCTTTGTCCCTCTATAGATTAATCTGGCCATTTCTACCTGAAAATGCTAAATATTTAAACATGTTCATCTCCCTCCATAACATCATAGGTCAAATAATGACTCCTGCTTCTCGAAGGATGTAATGTACGGAACTCGTAACTGGATCCAAAAAGCTTTACTCATTCACTGAATTTCCCCTCCAGTACCAGTGTCTTCAGTTTCAGTTATGACCCGCAACATACGCTTCTATTTCTTTGCCTCTTTTCTAAGACTTTTATGCCTAGTTCATGTCTGGGAAATTTGCTGTAATAGATTTAAGTTACACAGTCACAGACTTCTCCAAATGTCCAGGTTATTTCAACAACTGGTGTTCATTGTGGCGTGAATTCCGAAGTCCTCCACTGCAAGCATTGGTACCACATAAATCACATGAGTTTATACATGATAATTATATGATATTACATTACAATTACTGTTATATTCTATTATTTATTTTGAAGAAGATGTTCAGCATGTCTTGCTAAAATTCTCTGGTCAGCCAGACGTAACTGTACTTAGGACTCTGTCGAGGATGAGTGAGTTACCTAATGAACATTGTAGAAATACAGACAATTTTCATATTTCTCATTGGATTAAGGGATTTTATATTTTTAAAAATTTTTTTAAACTTTTTTTTTGTCATGAAGATGGTCTCAGAGGCGACCTCTGTTGCCAATCTTCCTCTTTTTGCTTGAGGAAGATTGGCCCTGAGCGAACATCTGTGGCTGTGTTCCTCTATTTCATATGTGGGATGCCACCACAGCTTGGCTTGACAAGTGACACTTGGTCTGCAATCAGGATCTGAACTTGAAAGTGCAAGGCCACTGAAGCAAAGCATGCTAACTTAACCACTACACAACTGGGCCACCTGAAGGGATTTTGTATTTTTTATCCAGGCAAAGCACACCCTGCGTACACTGCATTCACAGCTCATGAGCAGAAAGGGACTGAGACTTGGGAAAGACAGAGTGCTTAAGGAAGTGGCATTCAAGAGGAGCCAGTTGGGATTATTAACAAGAGCCAAAATTGCATGAAAGATGGAGGAAAGGGTGTTAAAAAAGACAAAGGTGCTCACCAGGAGAAGGATGGTTTTGGTAGCTCTGGACTCAGGGGAGGTTCTGAGGGAGACATTGGTCTTATGAAGATGTTTCACTCTCTGTTTGTGCCTGTATAGGATGAAAACTATGGAGCCACTGGCCAAGAACATGAGCCCCAAAAAGAAAACATCAGGGAATGACAGCAATGCTGCATATAATGAGTCTCTGGTTTTATCATGACGCACAGCAGAACAGTATCCAACACTTTTTCTGCTTGTGACATTTTTGTGGCTCCTATGGATAGTCAAAAACATAGGGTAAATGATATTTACCAGCATTTGCAGAATCCAGCACAGGGAAATTGAAGGGACGACGCACTTCAGAGCTTTCACTTTAATCCCTGCCCACCTGGAGTTCCTGGAGCTGATCACGATGGCCTGGAAGACACTCAAGAGGCAGGTGGTGCCAATGGACACACCCCTACCCACTGCACGAACATAGGGCAAAAATCTGCATTCCAAATCACTATGGACAGAATCCCATCCGAAAGCTGACAATGTATAGCGGATTCCGCTAGAGAACAGGACAAATAAGTTGGCTACAATCAGGTTCTTGATAATCAAATCTGTGGACCTTTGCCTACACTCAGTGAAATGAAGGAAGAGATAATGGCAAAGAAGAAAGAAATTCCCCAGGATTCCAAATGTAGTCTGTAATAAGAAGATCGTTCCTACTGCCAAATCCCCGGCGGCCATCCTCTCAGTTCTCAATGCCTCATATGTGTCTTCTGAGCTAGAGGATCCTGCTGAGAAATAGGAGGTGTGGGCCACATGAATCATGTCAACAGAAATACAATTTTCTCCTCTTACCAACAGTTCCTACTTTGAACTAATTACTTAAAGACTTTTCTGTCCTTTATAGGCTTCCAGGAATTGAAAGTACAACCATTAAAGAACACTTGCAATGTATGAAATACTGCCATGAAGGTCACAGATGCAGTCATTTCTTTATTCCTCCCAAATTAATGAGGCAGACACTATTGCATTCCTGATAAAGATGAGAACAACATAGGCACAGAGAGGTTAAGCGTTTCTTCTAAATTCCCACACTGATTAGGAGCACAGTGGGAATTTTACCCTGGTAATAAAGTGATACATTTAATCCATAGTATACGAAAATAGTAGTTAGTTTTGTTCTCCAAATAAAGCAGATCTAAATTCAGTTTTGCATTTGCACCTTGTCATTTCACTTTAGATTGGTGATATTGTACTAAAAATTTTCTAACAACACATTTCCACTTGCTTATGAAGACTTGTTTTATAGGCAAATCTAATCTTTGCCTAAAGCTTTAGAGATCTTTGTACAGTGTAGATGCCCTGGTTGTGGTATAAAACTGCAGGATCCTGTCCCACTACAAGTTGAGTTCAATGAATGTAAAAATGCCTCAACATTAGGATGGCAGCAGAAAGATCCAGTTGCCTTTTACTCAGGAAAAAAGGACAATTCTCTGAGTCACAGGAAGTAGGAGATAGAAACACTGATGCCTGATAAACAGTGTATGGTAGAAATAAATTATCACTCATTTCAAATCATATACATCCCATATAGTCATATCTATGTGAGATGAAGTTATTAGCATTAATGCCATATTTATAGAAAATATTAAAGTACAAGATACGCAAGCAACATGCAATGATATAATTCTAAGGTTAAAAACTTGTGTATCATATAAATGACATACATTTTTTCATGTTATAATATATAGTGTTATAATATTTCAAAGCATCAGAAATATCAAATGATAGATTTGAGCCCAAAAATGTTTGCTGAACTTATTAAGTTATATTATCCTAAATGCTGCTTACTCACTTCCAGTGGGAAAAGTCTCTCTATAATCAATAGAGACACCATCATTAAATCTGTTAAGCACTTCCTACACCCGGAGTTAGAGAAAACATTTCTCCAGCAACTGCTATTAGACACACTGTTTCTGCCCAGGATCAGAGGAGCCCTCTAGATTCATCCTACTCTTTATTACAAAAATTGAGGTACCCTCGGTGTACCTCTACAAATCTGAAAATTATGTCTATTGTCTATCCTTCCTGTAAGTAAGCTGACCTGCAGCTTGACACCTGAACTACAGTCCTTAAGCACTTAGAAACAAAATTTTACGTTAGTTGGATGAAACCAGAACAACCACTGTCACTACCTTTGAGCCATGCTGGATTGCTGGAAGATCTGAGAATACATCTCTTTTTTATCTCACTCAGCTCATCCTCAAAATTTATTCCACCTTCATACATGCCTTTGGCACTGGACTTGGTATATATGAAGAAGAGTTGCTTTGTCCAATACGTTCACTTACCCAGACTCCTGACACAACTTCTTCTCTTTGAGATTCTAACTCTCAGATGAATAAATGAAAAAGCCACCCACTTTTTCCCAATGCTTGCATGGTGGGTTTAGAGTGAAGGTCAAAGCAGTCAGTATATGTGGGACAGAGGTAGCTAGACCCAAAGATATGAGTTTGTGATTCTGTGACCTCACCTCCCCTCAGAGCTGCAATTATCATTTCACCTGCAGCATCATTGGCAGTAACAGGCTTGGGAGCTGAGAATACTTTTTCAAAACTTTTTTCCCAGGTGCTAATTACCAGGAACAACTGCAAGTTTCCAGCTAACATCTCTTAAGAGACTATTGGAGTGCTTGTGGGAGGCATGGACATATTTTCCGTGAACCCTGGAGGCAGACAGTGTCTCACATGGAGCAGGGCAGGAAATACTTAGGTCTGACATATGATTGACCGGTAGTGTGTATGTGTGTCTCTGTGGATATTCTACTTCCCCCAGAAGTACTACCTAAAAGTGAGTTCTTTCGTAATTGCACACAGCTGAGCTGCATCATCAGTTAAGTTATGAGCAAAGAAATGTTTTTAAAAAAAGCAAGCAACAAGAAGAACATGATGCCAATAATTTACATTAGCTATTATTGTACTCATTTGCACAACTCAATGTCAATGAACGTGTACACAGTTAGGAAGCTCTACCAATACTGACCCTCACTAGTGATAGAAGCAGAATCACACAGATATCCATAAAAGAATGAGAGAAGTTTTTAAAACAGTGCCTCAGAAAGAAAGCACCAGAATCAGATGGTTTAACAGGGACATTCCACCACACTTGTAAGTATCAGATAAGCCAACAATACTTCCTTAATTCAAGAATATCAAATTGTCAACACAGTCCCTATCCTTTTTTTCCACAAAATTTTCAGTAAGTAACTATGACTGTTTTTTAATTTAAGAAATATATTTTTGATTCATTTGAACAAAATATAGTTATAAATTACAAGTTGCATTTAATTCTTCAGGTTTTCCTACAAACAAATCAACTCTTTGATGAAAGTTCACAATGCTAAATCATTTCCCCTTGTCAAGTCAGTTGGCAAAGCCATAATGGTGGACAACCCATCTTACACAAACGCACAAACTCACTTACACACAGAAGTAAAAACATACATTCATGCACATTTCCTCACACATTCAAACTTACAGTCACACATTTACATTCTTATATACATACACAGTCCCTCACATGCTCTCACATTTTTATGGCACAATCACAAACAATAATGCACATACTGATCACATAAAAATTTACTTACATATGTAAATAATTATAAATGAATACTCTCACGTAAACTCACGGTTACAATCTTTCATAAAATAACAGTCACCAAGCACGTGTGCATCTCAATTACATGATCTTACACAGAAGAATAGTTGTATTTCCAGACTTCTGGATGCCTCAAAATGAGGGCATTGCTGCCCTCTATACTTTTTGTAACCCTGAAGCAATCACAAGGGCGCTATGTATTACAATGCACAGCACTTAAAATGTGCTGCGAGCATTGTCACCTTATGTCAAGACAGCTGCTGAGAAACTTGGGCTGTTCAGAGGAGTGACAGTGTGTGAGTACGTGATAGAGAGGAGTAAGAATAGGCCACAGGACAAAGGAGACGTAAGGATGATATAGGGGTGCAGATAGCCTGGGGGCTTGGAGTCATAGAGAGTACAGGGCAAGGGAGTGAACAGAAAGTGAAAAAGCAATGGTTTTTAATATTGGAGAAGTACTACAGTGCAATGCTGGGGATGAAAGACCAAATGGGCAAAGGTACAAGGAAATGACGGTGGGGGCATATTGTGATCTGAGGAGATAAAAAGGGGGGATAGGATCAAGAGAATAAAATTTCCTAATGGGGAGGAGAAGTTAATGGCAAAAGTAAGGAAATGCTAGAGGGGCATTTAAACAACATGGTTGGAGAGAAGGTGAATTCAGATAGGGTAGGCAGATCTGGGAAGATGATAACAGTCCAATTTAGGCAGGGGGTGGGAAAAAGAGATCTCACTAGGGGAAACCATGGGCATGGGCATGAAGGCCCTATGGGCAGAGGACAATGAGAGAGGAAAGGACAATGGGCATGAGTGAGCTAAAGAGCCCAGGAGAATGTCAGGAATTATAGGGTGAAATGTAATGAATGTAGGGTGTGAATTAGGTTTCTAGGGCCCTTGATGGTACCTATGACTTCATGGCTGGGAGGAATGAGAGTGCAGGAGCATAGAAGTCACAGGGCATGGGGTGAGATATCAGAATTGCGTGTAGATAGAACGCAAGAGAAAGGAGGGCATGCAAGACAGATTTTGCAGAGCTGACAAAGGCTGAGGTGGGTTAGACTGAGCTCCCTAGAATACTGATCACAGTGGTTTGGAGGTGAAAAAGGTCACAAGCTGAAGGTGGAGAGTGCAATACTGATGTCAAATGCATTCAATGGAGGTTGGAGTGCATGTGGAGTTTTATTAGATGTCTAAAGGTCACAGGTGGACAGATGAAGATGTACAAGGGGGCGTAGAGGTAGAGTTTGAGGTTGAATGCATCCACGCATGAAGGAGGTGTCAGAGGGGAGACTGGAGGCCATTAATTGATTCCCTCATTTATCTATACCCTCACTTATGATCAAACATGAGGAGTCATGTATGTTTCATTATTGAAATATATTTGACATATAACATTGTGTAAGTCCAAGGTGTACATCACATTTATTTGACACATTTCTATATTGTAATATAATTGTCATTCCAGTGATAGCACCTCTATCACATCACCTAATTATCATTTCTTTACGTGTTTGGAGCAATTGAGATCTTGACTCTTAAGAAGTTTGATGACTACAATAAAACATTATACTCTGTATTCACTCTATGGTGTGTTGGATATCCAAGACCTATTTGTCTACTAGCTGCAAGTTTGTAGCCATAAACCACATCTCTCCTGTTTCCCCAACTCCCTGCCCCTGGTAACCACCATTTGACTCTGTGATCTGATGAGTTTGGCTCTTTTAGATTCCACATGTAAGTGAGATCACACAGTATTATTCTTTCATTTTATGACTTATCTCATGTAGCCTAGTGCCTTTGATGTCGACCCCAGTTGTTTCATGTGGCAGCATTTCTTTATTTCCCATGAATGAATAATATTTCATATTATTCCACAACATCTTTGTGCATTCGTCCATTCACAGACATTTAAGTTGTTCCATATCTTGGCTGCTGTAAATACTATGGTAAATAGTGCCGTAATGAATATGTGGTTGCTGGTATCTCTTCAGTAACTATTTTCATTTCTTATGGTTTCTAATTTCTGTTCAGGGGCAAAAGTCTGGCTCAAATAAAATGTTCCTGAATACTCCTCAAACTGA